CTTCAAACTGGCTATGGCGACTGAGCGCCCACACAACTCACTGTTCGCACTCTGGATCTCCCTGGATGTCCCACACGCAACACTCTACATGCAACACACACACACACACACGCTACTATAGCTATGGCAGCTATGGCTGCCACTATCCTATCGCTACACTACACTTCACTGCCCTCTTCGTCTTCGGGCGCACTGCAGACCTCCTCGCAGAAGCTGCTGAGGCAGCGCTTCCGCATGGCATCCGCAGGAATGAATGAATGGCTGGATGCAGCCTCTTGATTTATACTTCTGTGCGGTGTTGGTCTGCCCTGTATCCCTTGGCCCACGATGTGCACAGTCCCAGGCGGTACTTGCTTGACTGGACCGGACTGGACTACCTGGGACTGCTGACTCTACGTAGTGGACCTACACCACTTGCCCACTTGCCTCGGCCTAAACAGGGGCTGACTCCGAAAGGCCAGTTCTAGAAACTTCTACTTTGGCCTCTCGGTACTGTAGCAGCTACGACTTTGCCCGTTCAGGTAAGTAGCAGCTACGACCTTGACCCTTCAGACATCCTACAGCTACGACTTCGGAATTGTCTAGACTCCTACCCTACAGGTCTACAGTTCGATTCCCTTCTAAGCTGTGACCTACGACAATCTACCTACCACTGGCGTATCGACAGGTCGCAGGTTCAAATCTACGGGTTGTCATCAATACTGTACACAGGTAAGATGGGGAACTAGGGATCGAGCCCTGGGATCTTCATTTGCTACTGCGAACTGGTGAATACCGTTTCACAGATATCTAAGACTCTAAAGAGGGTTGCGCCTCCACTCCTATGTACAGGGAATGGGAGGTCACTACTGCAAGGGATATCTAACTCATGGAGTGCAGCTCACTACGCAAGCAAAATAAATCCACTCATAGTATGGAAATAATGTGCTGGGGGGGGAGGAGATTCATTTTTCGCACAAATTTGGCAGCAATTGCACAAATTTTGTACTTTTTTTTTTCTTTTTTCTTTCCTGGACCACCACTATCTCTGATCCTCGCTTTACCGACCCTGAATTTAACTGCGCGCCAAGTTCTGCCAAGCCTGGAGCGGGGATGGTTTCACTTGAACTTTTATTTTGGTACCCTGCCGTTGTCTTGGGGCTTACAGTCACAAAAGAAGAAGAAGAAGAGAAATAAAAACATGAAACAAGACCAATTCCTCGAGTAAGTAGTCACAAAAGAAGAAGAAGAAGAGAAATAAAAACATGAAACAAGACCAATTCCTCGAGTAAGTGCTTTGAATTCTTCTACGCAAGTCTTTGGGGTTACTATATAGAATTCCAACCTGACGGCGAGCCTGGAGCGGGGATGGTTCCAAGTGAACTTTTATTTTGGTACCCGGCCGTTGTCTTTTTTTATTTTTTATTTTTTTTAAAGGCTAATTCTTTCTGCCGTTGTCCTGGGGCTTACAGTCACAAAAGAAGAAGAAGAAGATACATTCTTTCTTTCAATTTCTTTGTTGTACTACCTAGTATGAGTATGCCCTCAGTGAGGGGGTTGCAGGTCCCTGGGCAGGTTGTCAGATTGACAAGTGAAGGGGAAAAGAAAAAGAGAAAAAAAGGAAATTTTTGGCCGTGAAGCAGTTACATGCATTCTTCAAGGTGCTAGTGTGAGTATACCCTCAGTGAAGGCTGTGCCCTGCCTCGCTGGCAGGAGTCTCAAAAAAAAAAAAAAAAAAAAGACAAAAAACGAAAATATCAATATCTTGAAGCTTGCCATTATAGAGGTCGGTTTATTCTGAAAAAAAAAAAAAAAAAAAGAGGTCGGATTTATTGTGGAAAGAACTACCGTCTTCACCCGAATAGAACGCCCGGTCATTATCGCTGCATCTGGACTGAAAGGTGGGCCAAATGCAGCTATAATGACCGGGCGTTCTATTCGGGTGAAGACGGTAGTGGGAGTATTACGTTAGTGATGGCCTTCCCCAACGTCATTGCTCGTCGACAAGCAGGCCCACAGGGTGGAAGTATTGTTTTTTTTTTTTTTTCCATTTTCACATCCTTCCACGCCGACCCTGCCCCGAGCCCCCCTGACTTTTTCAAATGAGGCGCACCTTGCGACTTAGCGTCACAGTGAGAAAGGTAGTGGTGTTTTAGGAAGTTTTTGCAAACGATGCACCGATCTTTGTGTGCCTTCATTTTGCACTCAGTAACATTAACTCTTCTCTTTCTCACTCTTCGATCTGCTGTCATGTGATTTGTGTTTTTTTCGATATGTATCATGTTCATATGCATCACTTCCGCTATGGATCAGCAGGCTGACACAGCTTGGGGAGTTATGAAGGAGGGTCATTCCGTCTGCGCTGAGCCATTTCCAATATTCTCCAGGCTTGACGATCCAGAGCAGCTCGGTAAAGTTACTGCTACAGAGAAGCCTCCATCGTCAAAGAAAAAGAGGAAAGCGGGGCAGGGGACACCAAAGGACCAGTCCGTTGTTTCTGTTGCAGGGGGGCAATCCTGACCATCTCCCCCTTTGCCTGCCACCTTTCATTGGTCAGCTGAGTGTTACTTGCGTGCTACGCGAGTGCTACCGTCTTCACCCGAATAGAACGCCCAGTCATTATAGCCGTATTTGGCTCAACTTTCAGCCCAGATGCGGCGATAATTACCGGGCATCCTATTTGGGTGAAGACGGTAGTTGCCTGGCACTTGCCACGCACGGGTCGGTTGAGTGTTCCTCGAATGACGAGTATGAGCCCCGTCCTCCTGAACCTTTTTTTTTTTTTTTTTTTGGCAGTATACAAGGTGAGGGKGGTTTTGATTATGTACCGGCCTGATGGGGATCAGCAAAATTTGTTTGGGGCGGAAAAGTTAGGTTTGGCAATTTGATGAAAAATTATGGTTCACCGGAGTGACGTTTGAAGTTTGAGCGCTTCATTCACACAATGTTGCCCTTGTTTTGTTCCGGGGCCAATGTGGAACGTCTCTCTATTTGGAAGGCACATTTCAAACTTCTTTCACCGAGCCCCTGCTGCGGCACCTGAGTGTTATAAAAAATTCATTTCACACAACTTTTCGCTCGGAGTCCTCGTGTTGTGTTGTTTCTGCGTCTCTGCTTATGTGATAGAACATCGAAGGGATGGGGAAGTGTCCAAACTTCCAATAGAGATAATAGCATGATAAATTGTCAAGAGAAGACAAAGGCCGTTGTCGTATCTTTACCCAACAGTCCTAACTTGTTAGGGAACTAAGGTTAGGATGAATTCCCCCGAATATTATGTAACGTACGGGCATTATAGCTGTACTTAAGGTACCCCAAATACCGCTATAATGACCGTACGTTGTATTCGGGGGTAGGTGTAGTAGCAGTTCACTGTAGAGTAATCCTCACCCAGAATTTCTGACTTATCATATTTTAACTTCTTTAGAGTTATCTTCACCCACCAGTCCTGACTCGTACGTATTGATTGGAGCAGTGTCCTGACTTGTACATATTGATTGGAGCGAAGTGTGCGAGAATTGCGCTGTCCGTGGATGTTGAGTGTGGTGTGCGTTAAGTTGTACACTACAGCCTTGCAGCGGTGGGGTGGATATCATGACCGTTATGGTTCCGTTTTTGAACACCATGTCCTCGCTGTAGTGGTGAAGAGACTTAGCTCTTGAGGCTGAGGTCGCCAGTTCGAATATGTGCTTGCAAGGAGGAGGGCTTCAGCCCCGATGTACAGATCCATAACCTCCTACTATTGTTAGGGATCTCAGTTCACTGTAGCGTGAGCGTCATCTTTACACCCAGCATTCCTGACTTGTTAGGGAACTGAGGTTAGGATGAAACCAATTCTTGCCGGCACTTCGTGCCGGCACACGGAAAAAAAAGGTTATAAGGCATTCCCAAATTTTCTTGGTAGAGGCAACTTCGTTGCACTTAGGCTCATCTGTATTAAGGGTCTTTGGTTTACACGATCAGTATGATTCTCCTGTTAACAAAGAAAATGAAGAAAATCATATGTAGAACACGCGTTGGCAGAGATTTCACAACGGCTTTTAGCAGTTGCGGGACAGTTAGTTCAGCAGCTTAAAATTTTTCAAGCCTTTCTTTCCCCAAGAAGGATAGAGATTGGCCGTTTTTTTTTAACTTTTTTCAAGCCTTTAATTTTTTCAAGGCTTTCTTTACCCAAGAAGGATATAGATTGGCTGTTTTTTGTGAAAACAAAACTTTCATCTTGGAGCGACTGTTGTGGAATAATTATTGGAGTCTGAGAACAACATACACCTCAATGATAAGCTTGTCACGTAGCTCATGTGCGGGGTATCAATATTCTGGACAGAAACTGTACTGTCACCTCGATGATAAGTTTGTCACATAGCTCATGTGAGGGGTATCAATATTCTGGACAGATGCTGATGCTGTACTGTCCATGTACACTGTTGATTTCTGCCTTCACTTCTTCATTTGCAGAGCTGCCCATCGCGACAGCACTTGTGGGTCCGTATTCACTTCATTGGTGCGGTGCAAGTACATGTTCTACAAAATTTTACTCTACAGCCTCTCCTCACATTTCACCGTACGACTTCTTCCAGAGCATAATTGTCCGACGGACCGACTCACATTTCACCAGACAGCATAGGTTGTACAATGTCGCTAACGGAACATGACATTGATGTGTGTCACCCGTTTTCCCTACGAGCCTGTTCCCGACTGCCTGATCAGATATTATGAGGTTGGCAGTTGACAGTTGCATTGAGGCTGCTCACAACTATTCTCAGGCACACATGCTCTATGTCTCCGCAAAATGCACACCTATATGCAAGATGCATTTATTAAAAAAAATACCATTGATCTTTTTTTTCTAATAAATGCGTCTTGCATATAGGTGTGCATTTTGCGGAGACAGAGAGCATGTGTACCTGAGAAAAGTTTTTGATAATTTTTAATTTTACTGTTAATTTTATTGTAACAGATAAAAGAAAAACTTCAAAAAAGAGAGATTTGCAACATATTTGCCAAAATGGTGTAATTTGATTAATGAATTTAATGGGATAGAAAATCAGGGCAAATCCATGAAACCAGCAGTACACTTCATTAGCGGGCCTCTCGGATGTGCCCACATTGTCTATCCGTTCAATTTTGCCTCTTCACTTGAGAACAACACATACCCCAAATACCCGATAGTGTGAGAGAGTTGGGGATTGAAACTGCCAACATGAAAACAGGCACACAGATAAAAGAAAAAAGAGAGATTTTCAACATATTTGCCAAAATGGTCTAATTTGATTAATGGGATAGACAGTCAGGGCAAATTCATGAAACCAGCAGTACGTTTCATTTTCGGGCCTCTCGGATGTGCCCACATGGTCTATCGCTCTATCCCTTCAATGTTGCCTCTTCACTCGAGACCCAATAGTGTGAGAGAGTTGGGGAACTGTCAACACGAAAAGCAGGCACTCCATTTATGCGAAAGGCAGGGCGCATTTCACTGCTGGTTTTATGGATTTGCCCTGATTTTCTATCCCATTAATCAAATTACACCATGTTGGCAAATATGTTGAAAATATCTTTTTTTTCTTTTATCTGTAACAATGAAATTAAAATTATCAAAAACTTTTTTAACTTTCATGAATAATACCATCGCATTGATCAAATTACACCATTTTGGCAAATATGTTGAAAATATCGTTTTCAAAGTTTTTTTTCTTTTATCTGTCACAATAAAATTAAAAATTATCAAAAACTTTACTAACCTTCATGAATGGTACCATCGATCTTCTTTTTTTTTGTCCCCTCAATGTTGCCTCTTCACTCGAGAACAGCACATACCCCAGATACCCAAAAGTGTGAGACAGTTGGGGATTCAAACTGCCTAACACGAAAAGCATTTAGTGTATTTATGCGAAGGGCAAGGAGTTGATGAAGTTAGCCATTGAATTGTGTTTGTGTGGGCGTTCCATATATCCCATTGAGCTTCACATAAATTGTGTTTGTCCACCAAGTTTGTTCAATGATCATAACTAGCTCAGAATCTATCAATGCAAAACACAAAAACAAATAAACAGTAGAAAAAAAAGGGCTCGAAGAGTGTGATTACTGGTGGAACATATTTACAGGTGTCCGATAATTCAAGTGCAAAAATTGAACACTGTGTTACACGCTATGGTTACATATATCTGGTGTTTACCTGTAGCTGAACACCGGTTGACGCATAGCCCTAGTGGATGTATAGGCTGTTTGTGAAAACAGCTGGAGAAAAACCCAATTCCAGAGAGAATTGTTCATGGAACCACTATAGAAATCATTTGGACTATTTTTCCTAGTTATATACTAATGTTCATTGCAATACCATCATTTGCTCTATTATATTCCATGGATGAGGTAGTAGATCCTGCAATTACTACCAAAGTGATTGGACATCAATGGTATTGGACTTATGAGTATTCAGATTATAATACTTCTGATGAACAATCACTTACTTTTGATAGTTATATGATTCCAGAGGATGATCTAGAATTGGGTCAATTACGTTTATTAGAAGTAGATAGACGCAAAGTGAGTGGCTTGCCGCTTTCTTTCTTTCTTTCTTTCTTTCCGTCTCATTAATGAAACAGGTGAGATGCGTTGCGTAAAGTTTACGCAACGCATCTCACCTGTTTCATTAATGAGACGGAAAGAAAGAAAGAAAGAAAGAAAGCGGCAAGCCACTCACTTTGCGTCTACTTTCAATTCTAATTTGCTGGATTGATCGATGCTGAGGCTTTCTTTTACATATGTATTGTATGGTCGGTCTTGTGAAGTTCAAACTCTTACAGTGGGTAGAACGCAAAGTAAGATAAGCGATTGATTACATAATCGAGCAAAGAAGGAAARAAAACTTATGCTCCGTGAGGTTTCAGTAAGCTAGAGCAATCAATGAATTCAATCCCACCGGGCCATCGTCAATTTTCAATTCCCATTAGCTAAGGGTTCAGTCTAGATAAGAGCTGGGATGGTTGGATTTGGCCGGCGGCGTATTATCTTGTTTACTTACCCACTCTCTAGACTCAATTATATCTGGAGAGAGAAAGAAGAAAGTCCATCTCTCATTTCTCAATCACAAGAGATGAAGATAAAGTCCAAAAAGCATCCTGAGGTTCGAATATGAGCCTCATAATCTCACTATGTGCTGGAACACCTCGGAAGGTACGAAGTACGAAGTACGAAGTCCTTCTTCGCTTAGATTTCTAAGCGAATGCCATACATTGGGACAAGTAGGTTATCAGCAGGAAACTGTAAATGATCAGTGTTGATTGATATCATAGTACAGAATGTGAATTGACTCTGTTTTTTGTTCGGACTCTTCACGTATAGTCTCTGAGGATCCTACACAGACATATGTTGGTTTCCTGCGGATTATCCATTGTATATTGAAATTCATTCAATACATAGGTTAGGACTTTCCCGCATATAGTGAAGTAATAAGGTCAGAGATTACTCGTCTGACACGGCAATGAGTTTACCACTTTCATCGGCGAACAACCTGACATGAGTAACAAAAAATCAGGTGATGCGCCTTGGGTTATAGAAGGTGACATTACCACAGCCTGGCCGCTGCCTCACAAGGTTATTCTAGGAATTCTTTCAGAAGAAATTGCTTGTAGAAAATTTATGAGCTTAGTCGGAAAATCCCTAAGTGTTGGATATGCTCTTACGATCACCAATGTCTCTTAATATACGTGAGCATATATAATATACGTTGGCAAAAGAAAAGCCCCGAATTCGCAGTCCGGGGAGTACGAGAGGACTGGGATGGGTCAACCTATGGTGGACCTGTTGTCATGCCAGTGGCATTGCCGGGTAGCTACGTTGGTATGGGAGAACCCCTGAAAGCATATAAGCGGGAAACCCCTCTTGAAAAAAGTCACGGAGAGATTGAAGAGGCAACCATAGGGGCCGCCAGGCGGTGGCCCTTCGGCCTTAGTCCCCTACTATCAAATATATACCTTAATGAACTCGACCACTTCCTGCAAAAACTCCTTGTCCAGTCTTTTTTTCTAATAGAGAGAAAGAAATAGATGTTCAGTCTTTTATTACAGTTAACAACCTAGAAAGTAGATTCAAACTTTGTTTAAAAGATCTAGAGAATTACCATTTCGCTGGGAGAAAAACATTGGGCGGACCATGATACGCAATCAATCATGACCCACATCGGGAATGCAACGACCGAGCAAGTTGTGATTGAGCCCCTGCCACCGTCGACATCATTCCCCTTGCCAGTTTTCAGAGCACACGGTTCTGATAACCACAGCAGGTCCTCTGAAAATCGGCAGTGCAACCGATGCCTGTGCTGGTCCCAACGGCTTTGGGCCATAAAGCTCTGCGTTGCACGAGGGATGTGGATCATGATTGTGTTGTGTGCATGTGGTCTCGACTGGCTTTTTCCTAAATGAGGGAATGGTGGGGTTCTGGGTATATATATATCCCATCGAAGTCGTTATTGAACCCCAGCCGGGAAAATGATGAGAGATCTGAATGGTGATCCTCCGGCAACATCCATCCCACTGCCGCTGCCGCTCTTCAGAGCACATGGTTCTATAACTGCACCAGGTGGTCTTGAAAAGCCACAGTGGAACCAATGTCGGTGCCAACAGCTTTGGGCGGTAAGATTCCTAGTGTTGCACGAGAGATCTGGATTCTGGATCATTGTTTTGTTGTGCAAATCCCTGAGTAGGAAATGGCAGGGTTCTGGGTGGATGTTGCAAAGAGCTCACTTTTCCAAGAGCATGGTGAGGTGGCCAGGGTGGCTCACATGTTAGGGCTGTCATAACATTGAGATAGAGTCCCCACCCCCATAGGGGGTAGTTCTACAGCCCTAGTCCCTGCCATGGGTGGAAGTCCTACAGCCTTAGTCCCTGCCAGGGTGGCTCACATGTTAGGGCTGTAATCACATTGAGATAAGAGTCCCCAATACAGCCTTGGTCCCTGCCATGGGTGGAAGTTCTACAGGCTTCATCCCTGCCATGGGTGGAAGTCCTACAGCCCTAGTCCCTGCCTGAGGTTTCCTCAAGGGTACATGGCGACGGTGAGGTGGCCAGGGTGGCGCGGATGTTAGGGCTGCGATCACATTGAGAGAGTCTCTGCCATGGGTGAAAGTTCAACAGGGTGCAGTTTTCCAAGAGTATAGTGAGGTGGCCAGAGTGGCACAGATGTTAGGGCTCCGAGGGCGGCACGAGGGCATCAGCGTAGTATATTTGGGACCATCGTATAGCTGGCACAGATGTTAGGGCGCCGAGGGCATCAGCGTAGTATATTTGGGACCATCGTACAGCTGCAATGGGTGTGATACCCATGGACTGTAGGGTGCTTTACCTTGAAAGAATTGGGGGCAGTGTGACTCCGGTTTCACATGCATCCTGCATTGTTTTGGGACTTTTCAAGCTTTCACTCTATTTTCCCGATGGCATGCGCTTGTGACTGTTGTGAGTATATTTGGGACCAGTGCACGTGTGCACTGGGTGTGATTCCCATGAACTGTAGGTTTAGGAAGGCACGAAAAGAATCAATACACAATAAGAAGAAGATGACATCAGTTTTACATATCATGGCGTAAGCACCTTCCTCCCCACACTTCCTTGCAAGTCTTCTGCTTTTGCTGATTAAGAAGGTATATTTCTGGGGAACAGCGTCAAATATTGTTGTGGATTGCTTTTTTTGCATCTTTTGCAGTGAAAGTGCCTATGGTACCAGTTCATATTTGGTTTACCTGAAGCTCATGTAGAAGCACCCACCGCTGGATCTGTTATTTTAGCGGGAATTCTCTTAAAATTGGGAACTTGAATGCTTTTGGGACTGTAAGCGCTTACTTTATTTTCCCGTCTGATGAAGGTAGAGAATGTCAAAAAAATGGACTATGCGACCAGCGGCAGCACAAGGCTCAAATGTATAGTATGTGAGACTGTCTCTATGTATAGTATTGGGTTTTATTCTCTGCCTAAGAAACTATGGCTGTGTTTAATCACAGAACGCAGACATGGGAGGATGGATTAGGAGGATGGATACTGCCTTTCCACTTTGATGCCACTTTCCTCCCTTGTGGTATTCTATGATTTCAACAATTGCACTCTGTAGGCACACTCTTTAGGCAACAAATTGCATGCATCATGGCAATAGTCATGTCTTCCTCATTTACGTACTAAGAGAGGAATGTGCTTTCTGCATTCTCACAAATCAGCAAAAGAAGAGGGCTTGCACTTGAAGCAAGAAAACAAAAAGAAGTGGACAAAGTAAGCACAAAAAACTTGAAAAGTGGACATACATGAAGTAAGCAAATACGTCCGCCACGTCCGCCATCGAATAAAGCAACGTTCTCAGAATGGGATGAAATTCAGCAAGCAAATGAATCCTCCCTTGAATAAAGCACCTTTCTCATTCTTCAAAGAATGAAACAATTTTTTTGACCCTGCTGTCTAAGGAAAAAAGCTTCTCTTATGTTTCCAAGTACAGGTGTTTCTCAAAGAATGAAACAATTTTTTTTGACTCTGCTGTCAAAGGAAAAAGCTTCTCTTATGTTTCCAACTACAGGTGTTTCTCCTCCTAGCTTGTCCATGGCTTGTCCATGAACATAGACAATCAAGCCCGCCCGCCCAAGGAATCCATTTATACTTTCTTGAAAAAGATTACTGAATAATATGTATAAAGTGAAGCCGGTGACTATTCGTGGGCTTTTCTCTTCTGTTTCCAACGACGTGTGTTGCTCCTCCTGGATTGTCCATGTACATAGTCAATCACATTCCCCCACGGACTCCATTGCTATTTTCAAATGAAGCCAGTGTCTATTCGTGGGCTTGCGGAGCGAAAAAGAGAAAGGTCCTCTGCTTGAAAAGACTTTTCAGAACAAAATCACCCCGTTCACTGTACGGGATTCGAATTTGGAATTTGCACCATTCGGTTGTCCGTGGGTCCCCCTGAAAGCGGGTGTGAGGCTGTTGATTACCTTGAAAGCTTCTGAATGGGCTTCTGCTCAAATTAGCCTTCTAAAGGGAGGATCCTTCTCCTCTAAAGGGAGGAACCTTCTCCTCTAAAGGGAGATTCTGAATCCTTCTCCTCCTCTTTGTCCTCTGAACAAATGATGCAAAATGCAGACTCCAATCCTCACCCTCCCCATAACCACACAACCTGCTCCTGTTGTGATCACACGAATACACTCGCTTTTTTTTTCTGCACTTCTCTCTTCCAGCTGGACTTCCTGCAAATGCAGAAACCCAACAATGCTGTCTTCAGGCAGAAACCCTAACCTAACAATGCTGTCTTTAGTCAGCAACCCTAACAATGCTGTTAAAGACAGCAACTGTTCTACGGTAGGGTGATGTGAAACATATTCATCTGCCAAACTCCAACTGAAGCTTTTCCCTTACAATGCAGTAGCTTATCGATCCGATGATGGCTCATAATGGGATGGCTGGAGGCGCATACGGATCAGCATATTGTGGAAATCGCGGGTCGGCAACTGTCTCAGACGGCTGGAGGAGCGTATGGATACGCATGTGGCGGAAATTGTGGGTTGTCGGTTTTCTCATAGGTTTCTATATCTCACAGAAACATCATTTTTTTCCCTTCTCTAGACTGTTTCAAAACTTTCAAGTTTCAATCAAATGCACAATCTTCTCTTCTGTTTTCTCCACCTACTTGCTCACCACCAATCAGCAATTGCTGCTCTGCAAAACAGAAATGTCACTGGAATAGGAAAAAAAAAAAAAAAAAAAGTAGTATAACAAAGTACTTTTTTCCCTCCTTACATCAGATTCAAGAATGGAATCAATCTCCTGCGGACCACCTCTCCTCCCCACCTAACAACGGAATCTCCTGAGGACCGCCTCTCCTCCCAACCTCTCTCTCTTTGACCTGTGAAACTCCACTGAGGTTCTCCAGAGGCCCGCTAAAGACCTGCATCAGGCCTTGCAGAACAAAACCTCTTAGGATAAGGGTAATTTTTTTTCTCCCATCCGACTCTGTGCGACGGACGGGAGGAATCATACCTACCTCTGGCTTGCTTCATTCCGATTCCGTGCCCTTTGCCATGTTGAAATTTTGTAACAGCAGTGCAAACCAACCAATGGCGGTTATGATTCGTGATGGAATCGGGTGACAGCAGGTCAGATGTCCTGTGACAAGTACGAGAAATCCTCGTGTGTTGAAGGAGTCTGTAGGATATCAGATCTTTCACTATCTATCCCCTTCTGGACATCACAGAGCTTTGCCGACAAAAAATTGTACCGCCTGGACATCCCCCACGAACAGCTATTGCTCACCGGAGAACACGATCCCCCAAGAACAGTTCCTGCTCGCTGGAGAACAGAGAACACTGTGTACCAAAAATCCTCATGTCTTGAAGGAGTACTTAAGATATCACAATATCACAACCCACGATTTCCGCGATATGCTCACGCTCATCCATGCTATTATTTCCTTCGTCTGGAGTTGGTAGACACCAAGATAGTAGCCTAAACGATGGGGCTGTGCTATTCAATTGTCTGGAGTTGGTGGACTCACCGACCTGTGCCGCTTCTTGTTCCCCTTTTCAGCAGAGGTACTATGTATAGATTGCGATCGCCCAAAAGATTTTCTCTGGAATTCTTGAAATGCATCTCCAGCAGCTGCAAACTGCAGACACATTGTTGAGCAGAGCTGCTATCAGAACATACAAATTTCTGTGGCAGCAAAATAGACGGAACTGTCGAAATAGATGGCACTGCCCATCCACGGGAAACTTGCTGGTCCATTGGACCTCAAAAGAATTCTCTCATGTTGTTTCATTTCCTCGATTGATATACACTCTCTCAATCCCCCCCCAAAAAAACGACAAAGAAAAGATGTCACTGCTGATTGTCGACCAGCAATGCGTGATAGTATAGGATCTACCCCATTGCTTGCTCACCTGTCCAAACGCAACACAGCTGTGGGATAGAACAGAAACACCATGGGCCTCTGTCACCGATTTGCCTCTGCCAGGGAATCTTATCACTCGACTCACCGCACCGCCTTGCAGGAACCAACCCTGCCCGTCACTTGGCAAAGGACCTTCTTCCTAATACTTCGTCCGCTCACACCACGTGGCAGCGGTGCCAGTTCAGTCTCACTGCGGGTGATATGGGAGAGAAGATGTAAAGAGACCATTGCTTCTCAGACCACCCCTACACCTGAAGCATGGGAGGCCCCCGTTCACACTCTGCAGGCCGAGAACCAAAGCTGACTGGAACACAGGGACCAGAAAGGGAGGGTGACACGAAGAACAACAGATCTGCTGGCACCAATTGCTAACAAGCAGCAAGTGCCAATTTGGACATAGCATGACAAGCTGGTGTCAATTTGCACGTAGTATGTATGTACTACTATGCAGTATGTATGTACTACTATGTAGTATGTATGTACTACAAGCTGGTGTCAATTTGCACATAGTATGCATGTACTACTATGCAGTATGTATGTACTACTATGTAGTATGTATGTACTATAATACTACACAGTAGTAGTATACAATGTAGTATGTAAGTACTATGCACACAAAGGTTCTACTACGCAGTAGTATACTATCTAGTGTGTATGTAGTATACTATGTAGTATGTATGTACTATGTAGTATGTATGTACTATGTATTGTATGTAGTATACTATGTAGTATGTATGTACTATGTACACATAGTGTGTATGTAGTATACTACTGTAGTATGTATGTACTAGTGTGTATGTAGT